TAATGTAGTTCTATGTATATAGAGACAATAATATTTCTTTTCTTTTTTCATTTTCAGCAACTTTATGTAGGTCTACAGTTTTAATTTTGGACTCATTAGGAATATCATATCAGCAGAATTGTGCCACTGAATCAAAGGGAACTCTTTATTTTTTAGGTACGCATGATCGATGTAACTTCCTGACGATGGTGTGTTGGCTGTTTGCCCATGATTTCGGGGTATAGGTATAAGTTTACTCTCAATTTTCTTTCTTAAAAGCCGCATAAGGGGTATATTTTTTCTGATCTCAAATTTTTGTCTAAGCATTAATCTTTATTTTCTCATTCATGAATTATCTGCTGAGAGTCTAGTTAATTAATTTATTTAATTAAAGCTATATAGTAACATATAGTGAAATTATTTCCTTGTGTGAGACCTAAAGAAAAATCAGGTTACTCATTTTTATGACAATTTCTTTGATTTCAGGAGTAGCCTCCCCTTTTAAAGATCAAAAATGGTGATTTTACTTTGCGGCATGCAGTCTTGTCAACGGAGAGTTTTGACACCCGTAATACCCATATTTCTACCATTCACCTCTGTAACCTTTGTTGAGTTCATCAGACAGGTAAGAAAAACAATATTATTAATTGAAATAATTTTATCAAGATAAATAAAATAATTAATAAAAAAAAATTGCATGAACAGACTCCCTCATATAAGAAAATGTCACATTTTACACATTGCAATTATACATCATTAACATATCCACATTTTCCCCATGTACACATGCAGTTGAATTGATTTAGTGCTTAATAATACATAGCAACAATTATTACATGTAAGACAATTCACAAAATACATAAATGCATTAAACTGTGAAATACAGATTTCGTACATTTAATTAAAATGCACAGCATCAATACCCCCTCCCCCCTTCACAATCTTGCAACTTTCTTTTTAATTCAAAGTCACCAGGCAACACTAAAGATTTCCACTTATTGCTTTTCAGTCGAAGACAGGAAGTTGAGGAATAAAGTTGACAGGACATCCTGAACTGTCCTCGGTACCAGCTTATGAGGGAACCAGCCGCAGTGGACAAAGCACGTTACATCATAGGATAATAGGTAAGTCTCCGGAATAGTGTTTGTAGCAATTCTCATACTAGGTCCTGCATCGAAGCTTCAGGACTATTGATATTTATCTCTGCATGGATTCTCTTATGGCTTTGGTTCTTCCCAGAAACATGTTACTGGTGGTGGTCCCTATATTCTTCTGGCTTTTGTGGTGAGGAATGTTTCATTTTTAGCTTTTTTCTGATCACATTTTGTCCGGCGTCCGTCTATCTAGCTGTCTGTCCGTCTGTCTGTCCATCTGTCTGTCTGTAAACTTTTCATATTTTCTACTTCATCTCAAGAACCCCTGGACCAATTTCAATCAAACTTGCCACAAAGCATACTTGGGTGAAGGGGATTCAAGTTTCTTCAAATGAAGGGCCACGCCCTCATTCAAGGGGAGATAATTGGGAATTAATGAAAATTTGATGGTATGTTTTAAAAATCTTGTTCTCAAGAACCACTGTGCCAGGAAAGATGAAACTTATGGGGAAACATCCTCAGGTAGTGTAGATTCAAGTTTGTTCAAATCATGACCCCTGGGGTAGGGCGGGGCCACAATGGCCGACCAAAGTTTAACATAGAAATATATAGGAAATTTTTTTAAAAATCTTCTTCTCAAGAATGACAAAGCCATAATTGATCCTATTTATATGGAAGCATCCTCAGGTAGTGTAGATTCAAGTTTGTTCAAATCATGACCCCCGGGGGTAGGGCGGGGCCACAATGGAAGATCAAAGTTATACATAGAAATATTTAGGAAAAATCTTTAAAAATCTTCTTCTCAAGAACAGCAAAACCCTGATTGATCATATTTATATGAAAGCATCCTTAGGTAGTGTAGATTCAAGTTTGTTCAAATCATGACCCCCAGGGGTAGGACGGGGCCACAAGGGATGATCAAATTTTCATATAGAAATTTATAGGAAAATTCTTTAAAAAAAACCTTCTCAAGAAAAGCAAAGCCATGATTGGTCATGGGACTACTTTTGGATTTAAACTTTTCAATAACAAACCAATTTTTACTTTTTCCTAGCCACAGTGCTCAGGTGAGTGATGTGGCCCATGGGCCTCTTGTTTTTTAAAAAAAATTATCAATCATTAAAAATAAATAAATCAGTCGTAAAAAAAATTTGCTTCATATTTGAAGTGCTTTAAACCGACCCTTTGATGAAAGTGACCAGTGTTTTTTGCACCAAGAGTTAGCAAAGCTTGGAAGAAAATATAAGAAGGAAGTTATGATTTTGGTGTTACTATTGTTGTTATTTAAGTTTGATTTGATTTTTACATTAAGAGTATTATGAAACTGTTATTTTGTTACTGACCGATGGTTAATTTTCATTGTGAACAAATGTATAAAGATGAGGAGCATAATATAGTTGGCTATCCCCAATTTTTGAACGTACTATGTAATAAATATTAATAACAACCTTTGAATAATTGGAAAGACAATATTATAAATATGATAGCATTTTTGAACATGAGCATACATTTTTGAAAGGAAAAAAAAAATCATTCAATTGCATTTAAAAAAATATTTTGTTTCATATTCTTGCGAATTATCAGATCATTCTTCTATTATTCTAATACTCTGTCATTATGAAACCTTGTTAATAATTTAGTAAATATTAATTGTACATTTGCACCAATTTTTCCATGGCACTTTCACACTAAGAATGCCACGTGCAAAATTATATACAGGAACAATTCTGAACAAATATATGCAAGTGAGTTGTAAATTTGATATGCAATGCATACATTACAAAAACCCATTACAGTGTTCACTAAAATGAAATGTATGGACTCTTATATTAATTACTTGGTATATGTGATATGGATACATATGTATTATGGATATTATTTTTGAGAATGACGTAATGAAATTTTTCAGCATTGAAATGCATTCTTGAACCAGAGCCATGTGAACCTGGTCCACCTGTACCTCTCATTGAAGACCTGTTAACATCACCAGAGTATGTTCATTCTGATACCCCTATGGTATGGTTACCACATGCATTATCCCTGTCAGATGAATTTTAAGCCATTAAAAGAGCTGCATTGGCAACAATTGGGCAACGAAACAACCCAATGTGGTCGATTGTAAGGAAATACAGAATAACAGCTTCCAACTTTGGTGCAGTTCTCAGTTCTAAGCAAAGGCGGTAAGACGTGTGATTAAATTTTTGCGAAATAGACTTTTTAAATTACAGTCAAACATTGTTATCTCAAACCCATTATCTCAAATTCCATGGATATGTCAAAGTAATTTTGAAGTCCAAACCATTTATGAAAGACTGGGACATTTTATTCTCGATAACTCTTTATGTATTATTCTTGAATCCATGGATATTTCCAACATTTTTCTTGGTCTCATTGAGTTTGAGATAATGTGGTTTGACTGTAATGACTAGATATTTGTACATATAGATGGAGGAAATATAAGATTAATAACCAAAAATCATATTTTCTTCTTCAGATTGACATTGTCACTGAAGAAACGGCTTATGTCGGCTTACAATCTGGAGTCCATCAAAGCTGTTGCATGGGGTATCACTCATGAAGATGATGCTTTGAGAAAGTATGAAAAGGACTTTGATGCAGCTGTAGAGCAGTCAGGTATACAGCACAAAATAATATTCCTTCAACCTCTGACATATTAACATTCATTGTGTCAAAACAAATAATAGGACTTATCCTGGTGACAAACAGAAATCAATTACTGAAGTCTGATTGTAAAAAAAAATATTCAATTACCAACATATTCCAGAAAATTTGCTGGAAATCTATTTGAAATGGAAGGATTATAAAAGCTCTACTTAGACTTTGTTTGCATTACAAAATCAATTGTATTATGGTTTGTTTGCATTAAGTAGTATTATAATTTTTTCTGAAAGGGATATGGTTGCATGAATCCGGAGTGTTGGGAGCTTCACCTGATGGCTTAGTTGTTCGACCACCAACATGCAGTGTATTTTATCAAACTCCAGAAGCCAAAGACGCCATTCCTGATATTGTAGAGGTGAAAAATCCATATACAGCTTCGTCTTCAACAGTAGCAGATGGGGCACAAAATTTGAAGGATTTTTTCATAGGTAAATAACAATTTATAAGTTGGATTAAAAATCTGTATTGTCCAGTACTTTGAAAATAAAGATCTTGGTGAGTAAATGATTTCAAAACATGTATTAATTTACAAGTGCAACTGTTCAATATGGTATGAAGATACGGAAAAAGGAGGGGATATGAATTGGTATAACACAACTTAGGTGTTTTTTGATTTTTTTAGATCTTAAACAAGATACCCTGTGCCTGAAAACCAGTCACCCATACTATCATCAAATTCAAGGCCAGCCACACATATGTAACAAAACATGCTGCGACTTAATTGTGTGGACAAGAGTAGACTGCATTGTGATTAGAATAGTAAAAGACATTGAATGGACAGCAAATGTTTCAAAGCTGATAGATTTCTACTGTAACATTTTCATTCCAGCACTGATGGAAAACTGAGTTCTGGTTTGAACTTCTTGACACTTGGTTTTGTACCTCTAGAATTTTCTAACAATGGAAAATGGGTAATCATGTTAAACGTGTTGAATGTTCCTAAGTCTTATAGATGCATGATATGATATGTCACAATCCATCATAAAACTTCTGGCTTATAAGACTATTTTAAATAGCAATGATGATTAATAAAATCTATGTTCTACATAAAAAAGAATATCAAAATTTAGAATCATTTTATTAATGAATTGAAGATGTTATTCTCAAAGTGAAAATGTAACATTTTTGTCTTTGTTAATAGATAAATTGTTGAAAACATGAATTTGTTGAGTTGTGCTTTAAAGGTAAATATACTTGAAACTAGAGATTAAAAATTATAAGTAAACCCTCTTCCAAATTATATTGTCAAATGAAGAATGGAATTGCCAAACATTCTTGTAATAAATCCATGCTAACAAAAGGGATTTTCATTTTCTGAAGTACATGTATTACAACATACTACAAAGTTAACAAATATAACCATTGACATTGATAACAAATCAAAATTTGCTTATCCCTTGCACTTTGGTATGAATATCTTTACTGTATAGTGTAACATACTGTCACACACCAATGCAAATTTATAATAAATACATGTATCTTTCAGAAATTTCTTTCAAAAGTGGAGCTTGCAAGTTTACAAGACAAGAACAGAGTTGAAATATTTTTGTTGAGATTGGTCGGTAAGTAGATGGGATGTGACGGAGAATCTCGTAATTCTTTATCCTCTCGTCGGCTCTTTCCACATGAATACGTGCTTTAGCAATCTTGTAACACAGTGCTGCTTCTTGTTTGGTAAACTGGCCTCGTGTCGATAAAAAAGCTGGTATATTTAAGCAGACACCTTGGGGCAACTGGTCATGAATGGTGAAACCTTTGTCCGCCAAAATAAGGTCTCCAGCTTTGAACTTTCTTAAAACTTGGCTGTGACGTACAGTAGCTACATCAGGAGTAGAACCTGGGTACAGCATGGAGCAAAATGTAAGTGCACCGTTTGGAGCCACGCAAGTCACTGCTTTAACAGTATGGCGACTTTTGTACGTACTGTAGGCCATGGCCTGATTGTCCATATGTGTTGGGATGTCCTGGGTTGTTTCAATTGCATCCATATATGCTCTAGCAGAGGAAAAATCCTCAAAAGATTTGGCAGAGACCCTGAAAAAAAGTTGGAAAAAAATTAATTTGATTATTTGTAATTGTGTAAAAAAAATTGTGTTACAGTCAAACTTTCAAGAATACAATAAATTTAACTGCAAAAAATTTTTGCAAGTCATTATGATAAATTTTAAAACAAACCTTTGCATTTAAGCTGACTTGGAAAACATTCATTGACTACGCCATCAGACAGCATCTTGTGTAGTGCATGAACAAGGGTATGAAAGATGTTCGAAATTGTTGGTCGACTGACACAGAATCCATGAGCCAAGTCAGTGTCCCGTAGATCGAGTTTTAACTTCATTAGTACAATGAGCAGTTGGTCCTCTATTTTCATTGAAGGACTCCAGCCATTATAATAATCGAGTTCAAATCATTGTAACAATCTGACTAAGATTTCGAATATGTCATACTGTAGGGATGTATACAAAATCATCTGAAAATAAATTTGTTTTAATACTGATTAAAATATTTCCAAAAACTGAAAAGATTGTAAATAAATTAGTTTCAAGTAATAACAATATTAGTCAAGTCAGGTTTACTGTTGAAATGAGACATTTAGTGTTCTGATAATTGTTGTCACAGAGTAAAACATGGTTTATACAGAGAAGGTTTTAGATATTATTCACCCAAAGAGCAAATTAAATGATTTTTTTCTCTGTTATTTTAAATTGCATATTATGAACTCAACGATAATAACAAAATATGTTAACATAACAGTCAATCTAAGATGTTCATCCCTCAACGGCAACAAGTTTTACTGAAATTGTTAGGAAATAGGAAATCACAATTGGAATTCCTTTAAATGTACCTTCTCTTCATTGTCTTTAATATCATGAATTGACATTGGCTTCCTTTTACTACTCTAGACTCTATTTTTAGGGCAAGCAATTCCTTTTCCAGTTGTTGTATTTCTGTTGAGAGGCGCTGCATTTCTTGAGTACAGTTAAATGTGTAGGTTGCTGAGTAGTTGTGCTCTGATATCAACTAAAAATATATTGTAAATTATGAGTAATTCGATGTACAGTTAAAAGAACTGTTATATTATTAAAAATTATTGAAAATGTTTCAATTTGGTCATTTGTCATCAATGGTGTTTTAAATGAGCTTTACTTTTTCTTGATCTTGACATTTTAGTGCTTGTGGAATCTGCAACTGGTCCATCTGTGAAGATGACAGGGACTCCTCACTTTTGAGGTTTTTCCTCCTTTGTAAAATAATTAAACTTGAATTATTTTTTTATTCAGTTGTAAGCTACTCTGTTTATACATGTACCCTTTTAAAGATTTTTAGTAAAAATATTCTCAATGAAACTCCACCCATCCACCATCCAAAAACAAGATGTCGGTCATATTTTGAAAAATAATTTCACCTTTTTGTACATTCAGGATCAGAGAAGTTCATGGCCTTTCCTTCATTCCATGCAAAATATGCAAGGTCCCCTTCCTTCTTACCATCCTTAAAGTGGCAGAAGCAGATGCGATCATTCTGATCTCCTGGTTGGCGATCAGCTCGTCTAAAAATATATTATACAAAGACTGAGTGAAGGAGAATTAAAAAGCAAAACATATTCATTTGGCATGTTGTTATCAAATCATAGGCTAAATGACTTACTTTTTCATTCTTTTTTTAAATGTTACATTTACTTGCAAGTACAAGATAACCATGTGCATAACATTAACAAACGGTAGTAGTACTTGGTAGTAATAATACGATATAAAATGTAATAAAAACAGCTGTTTAACAAAAATTAACCTTGCTACAAATTGCACAATTTTTGTAGTATATACTCTTCATTATTCTTCTGCTATATTGGTTACGACGAGATTTAACTTTTTAGCATGTATATATGTATAAATCAGTAAATATGTGACAATGCAGCATCGTGACATATTGTTACAAGTACCTACACATTTTGTCAATATATCTACGTTTACTGAGTTTTTTTCCTAGCAGGCCGAAATATCTCCATCATGTCACCAGGGTCAACACTCGTGCATCTCGTGATTAGTGCTGTAATAAACAAACTGACTGTGTTTTTTCACCTGCATAGTTTTCCCCACAACAATCGTTCCAGCTACTTTCGTTATTTCTAACCAATGAAAATTGTCCTTACTTTTCTGTTGCGTAATGCAATATTATTGCACGCATCACTAATTTGTAGAACACACATCACAAGATTTCGAATATACATCACAAGATTATCGAACAAACATCACAAGATTATTGAACATACATCACAAGATTTCGATTATACATCACAAGATATTGAATATAAATCACAAGATTTCGAATATACATCACAAGATATTGAATATACATCACATGATTATAGAATATACATCACAAGATTATAGAATATACATCACAAGATTTCGAATATACATCACAAGATTGTAGAATATACATCACAAGATTTCGAATATACATCACAAGATATTGAACATACATCACAAGATTTTGAATATACATCACAAGATTTTGAATATACATCACAAGATTTCGAACATACATCACAAGATTTTGAATATACATCACAAGATTTCGAACATACATCACAAGATTTTGAATATACATCACAAGATTATCGAATATAGCAACGTTTGACATGCCATATTTAATTGCTTATAAGTTTTGTTCAATAATCAATTAAATTTTTCACCTGTAGTTCAAAATAAAATCATATGAAAACATTTTTTTTAATAAATTAATATTTATGTTCAGAGAAATCCTATTCCCTATGTTTATGCTGTTATAGACAATTTGATGATAAATAACCATAAAAAGTATTATTGTATTTTTTGTATATCATGCTTCTATGAATCTTGAAACATTCATCCTCGATTTCAAGTTAATGGTATTGTTTACTGAACAAATAAATGTCATTATTGTTTTAGTTTTTAAAAAATGTCATCAAATCCTTGAACTTATGGACAATTCTTTTTAGATTATGTGTTTAAAATGTATGCTATGAATATGAATATTGTACATTGAGAAAAACATCCAATGCTCCTCTTTTTTTCAATCATGGACGTCTGTTTTAATGTTGCTTAACATTCTGTGTATTGATTTTTTCCGTCTAAATACTCTCATTGAAATAAATATCACAAATCGTTGGCTTTAATTTTTTTAATTATTTCTTATCAAATTACGAGACAGCGTTGGATTACATGGGGTGTCTCGGTTTACACTTAATTTTATTCAATAATTAATATGCACTTTCCGTTATGTGTATATGTGTAGGGTGATCGAGGTATAGCTTCAAAATTCAAAATTTATACAAGTTGTTATTTGTACAAAATATTGTTTCTCCTATTGAAAATGTTCTAAGAAACAATGATTTAATTTAAACGATGTAAGATATAAATTCAAATTCTGTTCTTTTTCAAATTGATGAAAATCAAATAGTCTAAATCAAAAATTTTACCACCTCCCTTATAGCGGCCTCACAAAAATCCCAAAAATAATCAAATCATTACATTTTACGTTGAAGAAGGAATTATTTTATTTTCATGTCGTGTCACGTGGCTCGTTGCAATTAGCTCTGCGTGTCGTTGTGTATGAAGGAAAATAAATTTAAAACCACAGTGTTAAATCTAGATAATTTATTACATTTGTCCCTAACAATTCAGTGACCACGAAAGTGTTAATATGCCTTTCAGCAATTATTATTTTAATAGGTATCATAAATCTACATAATTTTTTTTCCATGCAAATGTTCAAAATTCTTTATTCCATTGTTAGCGTCAAGGTTTTAAAAACATATAATCCATAACAAAGCTAATATACCAAGCATAAATAAACGTATGTGATATTTTGATGTAAAAGTAGCAAACTATTATGCACTGATATTGCATTGCAATTAACCCTTGCAAAATATGGGACAGAGGTATGTTTCATATCCCATCCCTCATTTATTGCAAGTTTTATCAAATACTCTACGAAGGCAATTCTGTGTATATTGTTATATTGTTCTGAAACTTAAGATATTTTCTAAATCAGGAACGATTTGATGAGCTTTCACACGGATCATAACAATACTTATGTTTTATGTCATTCAACTATGAACAAAGCCATTACAAAATTGTATCAAATGCAATTTAAATTAAATGCATGCATAGTTATAAAAAATAGGTAAAGCTACATGGTTCTTTGTTGTTAAATGAATCACTGTCTCGGAAAAATTAACATCAACTTATCTAAAACTGGGATATTGTTATAAAGGGATATAAAGCAGTATGATCGATCACTTTAATCTCAGAATTTCCGATAATTACACACTCTTGTTTGCAAATGTGAAAGAAAAAAATTGAAAAATGAAAAAATACATATGTAATTCT